AACAAAGTTTGAAATAGAAGGTGGTGTTATTTCACTTTTCATTTTTCTCTGTTCATTTGTGTTAAAAGTTGAATAGATCGGACTCGAACTACAAAAACTCAAGTCCGAGTCCGCCAAAAAATCTTCCAGTCCGGACTCGCCCATGCCTGGCTCTAAAAGCCCTAAATGTTCATTGTCAGCTCAAAGCTACAGAAGAAATTAATGTAGGGCTTCTCTTGTAAATTCCATAACTGTTCAATACATAGGAGAAATCGTTTTGGACTAACAACTATCGTTCATCTGTTACTTTTATAATAATACTCGGCAAATTCAAATGTTTAGAGCCAATATTCTAACTGTTGTCAATTATAGTTGAAGCTCACATCTACTACAAAGTACACGAAGAAGGAATATGTCTTGTCCAAAACAGATGTCTTTTGTGTGTCAATAACTTCATTTCTACTATCAACAATGTTAAACAGTTCACATATTTATCAAAAGAAATTATTATTGTCAACAAGAATCAATTATTCTTATGTGTTATATTCGATGTGATGAGTTAAATTCTGATACTACTATTGAATGTATAAAAAGGATATGTACAAATACATCAGATTGTGTTAGATTTTACAAAGATAAATCGTTGTTGATTGGCCATATAATATCAATACCAAAAAAACAAAATTATTTCTTATATTGTACGAAGACGAGTTCGATATTATTCTACACAATGTCCATTGTGCCAGTGTCACTATTCGTCAAGATGATTCAATTTTTCTTGTTTAGTCTCAAAATATGAAGATTTAAAACTCAAATACTCAACAACAATCATTCACTTTTATAATCAGTTGACAAATTTTAAAATATCCATACGAGCTGAAGTAGATCGTGCTGAAGACCAAATGATTTGTATGAATTTTTACAAGAGTCATCTTCAAGAATCCATACAAAAATGATCAGAAGAACTTCAGCCATTTCTATGGTATTTGTTACTTATTTTTGAACGCAGCAAAAGAATACGAAGATGAGGATGCAAAAAATGAAATGCTGGGGAACAGCCAACAATACTATCGTCATAATGAAACAATGCTGGGTCAAACTGAAAAGTTTAGGCAAACATATAAATTTAAACCACACTTTTCAATTTCAAGACGAAATTGATACGAATTTTGTTTAACAATTAATCTTCGTAATAAATTTTCAATTAAATAATTTTTTTCTTCTTGTGTAATAATAAATTCATTTAATAAATCAATATATTTTCGAAATTTTTGTAATTCAAATTCATTTATACTATCATTGAGATTATTTAATTGAAATGTTCCAGTTAATAATTCACTACACAAAACTTTTCACCATTTCATTTACATGAAATTGTATAAAAATATTTGTATAAATATTTTCTCGATTTAAAAATGTATTATTAAGTGCGCAAAATAAATGAAACTTTTCTAAATTACTATCAACAGAATTTTGTTCTGTGAAAATAACGTCATCGAACGGTTATAATTTTTCAAGAAAATTATTGTCAATCAAAAAAATTTTGTTCAACAACATTGACAATTGTTTCTTAAATTCTATATGAATTTAAAACAACCGATAAACGATTTTTTTAGTATGATGAATCATTTCCTTGAAAACATTTTTCAAATATTTGATATACAAAATTATTTAGTAAATCATCATTTTTATTATTTCGTGATTCTAACGCGAGTTGTTTTAATAAATCAATACTTGTTGTTTTTCGAGACTTCTTTTGATAAAATTTGTATACAAACAATTCTCATTTCAATTGTATCTGTTTTATTTGTTAAAAAATTTCCGATTTTTTCCAATACTTTTGTTGATACAAATTTCTGCTGGGCAACGATTGCTGCTGTAGCACAAATTAAAAAATAACATTATGGGATCTGTACAATCGCGAGCGGCTTGTCGAAACCAAATTCATGCATTGATTTTCCTATCGATTTGCCAAATATTTCCATTACGATCAATCCATTCGACGCTCATAGCCCAGTTGCACTGTATTTTGCTGGCGTGAGCTTAGATCTTGAACAAATTCTGGCAGACGATTTACCATCAGCATACGAACGGGCAACCATTGTCGCCAAATTCTTCAACAAACTTATAACCACTCTATTAAATACATTAATTAATCCAAAGCGTCCGACGATTGAAGTATTAGGCCGCATCAAAGGTTATGTTGGTACCGTTAAAGGACAAGGCCGTGGCTTATTACATCTGCACATGTTAATTTGGCTGGCTCAAAAATACACACCTGCCAATCTAAAGAGAAAAATCCAAGATATAGCATTCCGCCAAAGTTTACTCGACTATCTCGCCGATATCATCAAGGAAGATTTAGGTGAATTTTCAGCATTGAATTACGATGACATGCTAGATTACGATTACTATTAAGCTTCTAAGCCAGAATCTGCATTTTATATGGAAAGAGAAGAAACTGGTCTGAAAGGTAAGAAGCATGAGAGAAGAGGTTTGTTTCGGCGTTCAATTGTATTGATTCGATTAACTTTTCTCTCGCTTTTAGCAAAGAAAGGACCCAAAAGAGTGGCAGCAACTCTATCATCATTATTCAAAACGCGTGATCCATCTCGCCCGAACTTCGACGAATTGACTATCCCGGCAGCCGACATATTCTGGTTTGAATCAAAAAAAGGGCATACATATTCATTGTCTTTCTCCATAACCATAAACAGTTACTTACACATAAACAAGTAGAGATTGATTGGATATACTTGGGAAAAATTCAGCTTTCATAATCTCTTCATTGCCGAGATCATGCAGAGTCAGTAGCTCACTGTGGCTAAACCGCGCACATAGAAGCTTTCCATAGGATTGTTGGCACGGGACTGTAAATAGACTACGCGATATACTCTACAGCTGAGTTGGAACCAGTTGAAAAAAAGCAGACCGAACCGCATCGATCGGTTACAAAGCCAGCGTAAATATGTAAAAAACTGACTGATTTTTCAAAAAACGTGATTTTTTCAACTATTAGAAACGATAGTCACTTTGCGAGGAAAGAAACGTTGTTTTAATAACGTAAATAAATAAGGATGACCCTTTACTTTTATTGAAAGTTGGTTTTCTGAAAAACTTGGTCTCCAAAGACCTTTGGGCCAGTTCAAAATTTGATTAGAATTGGAGACCTTTTCTTATTATAGCATAACTCTGAAGCAATGTTTAAAAGTCTTTTTTTTACTCGCATGTTCATAACGAGAGTTCGATGCTCTTTAGATTGCAATAGGTTTGAAATTCTGCGAAAAGTCATTCGAAGTTCGATGGATATACCCTTCTAAATTTCTTTTAATTTTCTATGATAATACTAAATATTCATTACATCAGATTGATAATATTTGTTGTAATTTTTTTTGTATAATTGTTGTAGGACGATAGCATGCTTTTTTCTCTTTTGATTCCGATATCCACAAATATATTTTGTAAGATGAAACTTCTTAAGCAAATATTTTTCTAAATTGTTATTTTCTCTGACATATGATATTGCCATAATAGATACATTTTTTAACAAACCTGTTGTCTTGTGACGGTGAAGGGTAAGAAACAAATGCAAGAAGACTGTTGCATATCAAACTATGATGCTTTTTCTTCGAGAAGCGACCCTCGAGATTTTTGCATATTCGGAATCAGCGCGACAAGCTACGTTGTACGGCGCAAAGATCTCATCAGGGCCCGACACCTTTTGGACTCGGATTCCCCACAGTGGATTTTCACGGCATATTACACTATATTCAACCTTGTACACTGAACTCACTAAGCCTATTGACGAACTTTGTACAGTAGACAAGTCCATAACTCTGTGCATAACCACTTGGTCCGCACGGTGCTTTTGAAGTCAAAACCTTTCATTGGTGGATTTTGGCAGATTGGTGAACACATTGGATCCAATTTACATATGTCATAATTCTTCTCAATAAAAATTCGGAATAATCTTCTTCACAATAAAAGAATATGGCTTTCTAACATGAAAAGCCCCATGAATCACAGCTTTTCGCATCTCAGTGGCATTTGATTCGCCCATGAAGGAACCTGATTGTGTCTGTAGTGTTACTTTCATTCCATGTTGGATTCCATTTAATTTATCTAATTCTAATTAATATTCTATCCACCCTCACACTTAACATATGTAAAACAGATTATCCTACTTATAAAAGAAAACTAACGCCCCCCTACACACACTCAGAATAAAAGGCTATGGCTTTCTAAAATGAAAAGGACCATGAATCACAGCTTTTCGACCGGCTTTCAAAGGAAGGCGGCCATCTACCTGCACTAGGCCGTCAGCGGCCTTCTAATCTGTCACTTGAAACACTGACCTGCGTTTCGTAGAGTTTTATTCTCTCCTTACAATTATCATGCAACTATTTCTGGTATATCGTTTTTTCTTATCTGCTAACCGCTATGTTAACTTTACTTTCTATCATCATAAGGGCTTTTGCTATAAAGATAAAAGTCAACAATATTTGCTGTGCTTTTGATTAATGGAAGCTTTAATTATTGCGGCTTTTAGTTATTGCTTTGAGCAGCTATGTGTTTCTGCGTGTCTCCATATGTCTATCACATCGTTCGGTCTTACTTTTATCGTCTTCCTTGCAGTTGCTGCGCATAGTAAATAGCAAACGTGTAACTTACTTTTCTTCTGTCCTTTGTAAATTAGTCATCTGTCACTACTTATAAAGGTGTAATTGCTCAACGGGAATATGTTACCAAAATAATACTAGCCTGGTAGATGAAGGGAAAAGACGAGCCGCGATCTTGTGTCAAACAATGTCAA